GTAGAAAATGTGAATTTGATTTTGGAAATTATTGTTGACAGGCGTGGTGTCGATGGCGAGAACGGAGGCTTATGAAAACATCTGAGTAAATCTGTGTCACAGTCCAATTCACCGCACCACGGTCTCCGATTCATTTGGAGCCGAGTCATTGTTTCGTGAATGAGATAAATGAGAAGAGTAAATTTCTTGAAAGAAATGACAAGAACGAAAAAAATGATCCATTTTCGGGTCGGAAAGGGTTTTTACGCATTAATGTTATAATTAGTTAGCCTATTCAAATAAGCGCCCACGTTTCGGGGGTAGCGCGTGGTATACCGTTGTTGAATCATTATTACTTACATGTAATGTAAATCCAAACGTCTTGGCCAATTTTTTTTGGCATATTCACCTGACACTACAGTATGTGTTGGTTAAAATGACATCAAGCTTAAGAAATGATTTCGTGCCAGCTGAGTTTACAGTTTAACATTTTAATGCCTATAACTGAAACATAGGTGAAAATCACCTTCCCTGTTGCCACTCCCCGTTAAAAAGGGATATTTTTTTTTTGGAAAACAAAAAAGACAAATAAAATGCAAAGATGTGTTTAAGAGCAGGAATACAGAAAATTTAGTACCTTTAAGGATTTTAAACCTCATGCTTCACCAACCAACCAAAGGGAATTCGTTGGCGATCTTAGCAATGCAACGTAGATTTATATGTGACTTGGGTTCTGTGTACTACTGGGATGGAAAAAATTTTTAATTATGTTTTCCTCAAGACATGAGCTCAGAGTGAAAAGAGTACATCGTGCAGAAAGTTTATTTTCGCTTCTTATGGTTAACAATCCTTATTTCCATTACAACGATTAACCTTTTAATGATAAAGTTTCCTTTTTACTTTCGTTCTCCCTCATTTATCTCGCTAGCGTTCTAGTGATTGCAGAATTTCTGCGAGGTTCTGTTCAGTTCTTTTTCAGGAAGGTGATATTTTTTCCTGGACTTTGTTATCTCAGAAAAATATATTTTACTATAGACTGAAAATGAGCGCAAAACTGAGCAAAACCGATTTGCTTGAAACTTTTAAGAGACATTTTATCCAGAATTTAGCACTCCTTTTGGATTACTTTGTATCAAGCGAAATTTAGAACTTACTTATGATTCACTTCTTTTTTTTTTTTTTTTTTAAGTTTATTTCAGTCTGAAAATTGATGTTAGGTATGCAGTGTTGCACTGATGAACCAACGTTTACCTCACGGAACTGCACCCATCGCATTAAAACATACAATCACAGAAACGGGTACATGATCACACAGTTTGGCATTTTTTCTGGTTTTATTTAAAGCTCTGTTTGCCCTCAAGGTTGTTCGAAATTTTGTTTACAATTTTCTTCTCAAAAAAGAAAAAATAAGGTCAAAATAGGACTTAAAACCGAAAGAGAATTGACTTCTCTGGCTTCAACGACATCAGACACCATTTCTATTTTTTCTTTTGCTTGAAGCGAGCAAGATTGCATAGCCAATCTTTCACTGGTTTGATGTCAAGATTTCCTCGACTAATAAATAGACTAGAGTGATATGCGTCGAGTTGATAAAAAGCGACCCAATACAGCACTTTTGTTCAAATCGGCTCTTATGTAATTTCGTGATCTCTGCTTCTTAGCTCGGACTGATCCTTCAGGTTTTCAAGCTTAGATGGCGGCCATACGTTTTACATATCGGAATAAAACGCCTCCAGGAAACGGCTATTGTATTCTTGTTGTAGTCCAAAAAACATTCCATACCGAAAAGAAGCGTTTTTTTTTGTTTTTTTTTTGTGAAATGAAAAAAGGCGTAGGTGAGGTTTCCTTATCGATAGCACGCAAGACAATTTTATAATTTTTTCAATTTCCTTACAAACAAAATAAAGATAATTTATTCTTTTCATTTTGGTTTGAATCTGGCAGGTTAAAATTCAGTATACATATTTCAAAACCTGATTGCCTTTTCTCTAGGAAACGAAGAATTTACCTGGTTTTGAGATGGTAATTTAGACTCGTCAATTCTAAAGCTGATATCAGTATGTGCTCGGTTTATTGTTGCGAAAATAGGCGAACAGTTTTCCGATATATATCTATATATATGTGTAGTGGTGACAAATTAGAGGGGTAAGGCAACTAAAACATTTAATTTGAATATCACTTTTGTGATTAAAAAGCGCTGTATCGGTTGATGACCTTGCTGGTGATAGAATCGAAAAAACCTCGATTTTCCGCGTTTAATTTTGTCGGCTCTGATTTCTGACAATGTTGTTGCGTTTAGTTAAACAACCTGGCCTGGTAAATCTATAATCTCGTCTAAATTCAAATGAGCGTCGATCATTTGCGTGCTAAATTACTCGACAAATTTGATACTGATCTTTTTTTTTTTTATTTGAGTAAATAAACCAGTAAACCTTTTAGAGTATTGTTGACCCAGGTGTGAAACGCGAAAAATTTCGAAGGTGATGTTTCAGCTAAATTAGCAGCTACAGCAAACATGGAAAATGATCTGGCGAGTCGAGTTGAATGAACCTTAACAAGACGCAAGGTTTAATTTTCCTTTATTTTGAATGAGACACATTTTGCATAAAGATCAAGGGTTTTAAAACACACCAACGCAAAGTAACTTCATTCTGAAGCAATAAATTATTTTAAAACTTTTTTCATCTTTGATATACTAGTGAAAAAATTGAACGCGCCCCTACCTTTTTATTTTAAGTCAGAGAATTTAAAAAAATACACTTTGGGTTGTTTGGGATAGCGATTTATTTTCCCACAAGGCCGAGAAGTCGGTGTGCGAAAACAATTAAGAATTTTCCATTAATTCTTTTCATTTACGCCGAACAAAATCCATTTTACAAGCTCCGCAGCAATCACTGATTCGATTTTCGAAATGCGATAATAATTATGAGAACCGAACATGTGGTGACGGCGTGGACATCCGTACGTTTTACGACAGTTCTAGTCGGCGTGTTTTCCACTTCTTAGTTCAAGTTTGCGTATCAATTTTTAAGAATCCCACAATGGGATGCCTGATGGCTCATTTGGTAGCAGTATTCAATCCCAGCAATAAAATTCCCACGAATAAATTAAGGACTAAATAAAGGAAAGTGGTTTTTTGTGTTCTAATACTCAATTGCCACTTCCGCAACGGTTGTATGTATTCGGCGTTTAGCAGATTAATAGTTCTCATCCGAGAGACAAGACCAAATGGGGAAATAATTAAATTCTACGCCGTTTGCAATATAATTTCAAACTATTTCCACCTGTGGAAATCACCTTTCTATCTACATTTCGCAACATTTCAACCTCGTTTCTTTATCTGTTTTGAAGAAGACAAATGAAATCACACTGATAAATGTTCAGACTCTGCGAAGAAAGGCTTACGCCGGGAGACATATTTTTAATAGGCGAATATTTGACACAAAACCGAAACAAAACGGGCTCATTTCATCTGCCTAAGTCATTGGTATTCCAGCTAATTTGACCTTTTAAGATTTCCGCAATTAAAAAATTATGCTTGACGATATTTTTTAGTTTAATTGGTGCCGATCGTGTGTGGAAAATGAAAATTGAATATCGAGTGGCAGAACTCAAGGATTTAGTGAAGTCGCGTAAATTGAATGGAAACAGAGTTTCTTTCATCCTATAATCTGCACAGCGTCGTGGGCCTTTTAATGCTGTTGCAAATGAAATTATCCCATTTCAGGAACGAAATGTGTGTTTATCCATCAGCTGTTGTGTAAAAATCTTTGGCGAATACTTGAAAGACGCTAATTAACCTCAGAAAACGATGTTGCGAATTTGCAGGATACAAAAACCACCACCTTTACAAAAGTGAGTCAAATTACTGTCGTAAACATGCATAGCTTGTTTTATGGTACACCACAGCGAAATTCAACATATGTTACGATCAATTTTGCGAGAAGTAGCAAAGTTAAAGTAAATAAAGATAGATCTTTGTGAGATGTATTAATGGTGTCTGTTTTAAATGGAAATATAGTGCTTCGAGAACGCATTTTCCGCAGAAGAACCATGAGAAAAAGTTGTTCCGGTTTTTCTAGCCATGGACCGATGGGAAAGACTTAAGTCGCTAGTAAAGGCGCTTCAAATTAAAAACATTGACAAGATTTCCGTTTTGAATTATTGAAAATTATTTCGTTGAGTCTGGTGTGATCAATAGTTTACTCGCTGGAAATTTTGTTCAGGAAACATTTCACACTGCAAATAAAAAAAAAAAACGCTCATTACTGTAAAAAATAGCATGGTATACAGGAACGAAACGGGAATGTTGAATATATAAAATATATTTTAATTGTGGGAAATTGTTGTAAATGCTGCGAGAAAGTGCTCAATACACGTGAGTGTAGAGCGAAATACGATTCAAACTGACTAAAATGAAACACACATTCCCTGTTACCTTCTGAGTTTCGTGCTTTCGCACTCGTCAGACAGATTTAATCTGTCTGACAAGTGTGTAAGCACTTTTTTTTAAATTTTTTAAAAAAAAGTTTTAAATGTAGACTAGTGAGCAGTACTTCTGCGACGAGTGCGAAAGCACGAAACTCAGAGTAACAGGGAATCATGTGTGTTTCATTTTAGTCAGTTTGAATTGTAAAATATATTTTAAAAGTATTCAGTTTTCAGGGTGAAGGTGTGTTCCAATCATTTTAGTTCTTTCAAATGTCAAATCGAAGGTTGTTACTTATGACTGTAACAAGGTTTTTTTCCGGCCATAATGTTAATACTATTTCAGTCAATTGAGATACAAATAAAAATGGTGGAAGAGTGAAATTTGATGTTCGCGAAAAACGATGGTGTTTATATTTCATGATCAGTTTCTAATAAAACGATGCAAAGAGATACCTTTGCATTCAGTTTAAGTGACTTAGCCTCCAAGTTAAAGACACAATTTTGTTCGGCTTTGAAATATTTCGCTTTGGGATTATCTTCTTTTACTTAAGAGCGATTTCAAGAGACACTGACTCTCCAGCTTCAAAGTGTAACATTTTAGTTTTATTTCAATATTCGTTCCAAATGACCAAATTATAACAGAGTTTTAAACTCGTACAACTTTCTTTTCCTCTTTGAAATCTAGTCCAGATAAACATCTTGTGTTTACGATATTCGAATACTTAGAACAAAAAGGATATCTTTTTAAGATAGTTACAAGTATGTAATGTCCAGTCAGTAGATATCCGATATGGCGATAACGATAACAAACTTCCAGCAATGCTAACTATTTTAATGTTCTTTTAGGTCATTTTTTTACACGAGACAAACCGTTTTTATTACGTCCTCTTTTCAAAACACTTTAGTACTTTGCCTGGCCTAGAGGGTTCGGCATAGAGGGTTCGGCCTAGAGGGTTCGGCATAGAAACTCAGCTTTTTTCAACCAACGTATCACTGACGTAAAACCGAGTCGGCAATGTTCGCTCTTGTTCATGTCGTGGGTGTGGGATTCTTTATGCTTTTTCCGACATTATCCGCCCATCACCAGAAATTGGGTCATTGAGATGAAATAATATTTGTTTAGTCACTCTGTCATTAAACAAAGAATCATTTTGTACTGTTGCGTTTTTGGCAGGAACGTGGCAGTTTTGGTCCGTCTGCGGAACATTATATATCTTCATTAATCAATATTTGGCAACCTAACTCATTGGGGTTGTATTAACAACTGAATGCTTTTCTCTAGAGATGTCACACTTAAAATGCGCATCGGCAAGATTATTTACACTGGTGAAATAGTTTACATTAGAAACGCCAACTCCGTCTCATTAACAAAGACACGATTAGCCACGATCTTGTTTCATGGCTAAGGTTCATGTCGACGTGTTTCTTCCATGACCGAGTGGGCCCAATTTTCCACACTTAATGATGATCATGATTTTGTGAAGTCAGCAGCACTTCATGTTCTTTAGCCTTGCGTCGCAGAGCGGCTATGCTCGAAGTTCTTATCTTCTCGAAATACTCTATATCTCTGAAGCCGTGTTCTTGATCGTAAACATGGCTATCGCAACCCTGATGCCGCCCACACTGTAAAGCTAAGTATTCATCTTTGACACGTTTCCGCCCTTGTCCTTGGTAAAGGCTGTCTTCTGACTTCTCCAAGTCGCTGTTTGTTTCTTTTTCGCCTTCCGTGCTGTCTTTTTCAATTTTAACTTCTGCATCGCTGTTTTCACAATCCTCACCGTTTGATTTCCTCGTCGAATCCACGTCTCCTTCTTCTTTGTCGACAGAAACCTTTTCGCCTTCTTGGTCATCTTTAGCTTTCTCTCTTTTCCTCCATTTCGCTCGTCGGTTTTGAAACCATACCTGAGAAAAAATCCAAGCGAGAAAATAAAATTAAATGGTTACTTTAAAAGCATTGTTTTATTACCGCGAGCATGATTTGAGATTTGGGAGCATGTGGTTTTATACAATAACCTTTATTATTATTTACTATCATTATAAGTGCGTTTGAAAGAGCGATCGATTTATTGCGTGTAAAAAGAATCAGAGAATCATTTCATGCAAATTTTGACAAAAATGATCTTTAAAATTTCTCTTTTTGCGGTCGTATTGAGTAATTCCTAAATAAAATTGTCGACCTGTCGTTTGACAAGTGTTTTGATACAACGAGTTGAAACAAAATCGAACCATTTATGAAAACGTTTTTTATGCCAAGAAGAGATAAGTAAAATATTAGAGAGCATTTATTCCTTTCTCATTAGTAAAATTGTCGCTGTGGCTTTTAACAATGCGCTGCCATAGAAGAGAACAAGAGAATTTGCATTTCAAACTCATCCCTTTTTTTCCAGTTTGGTTTCTTTACCCATCCTATTTAAAGATGTAACTCGGGTTCATCCATATTCATTGAAAGAAAAAAAAAACAGAAATGAAAAAGTTTGTCAACACTTATTACTTCATTTTACGGCATTGTCATTCACATTTTACCAGAATTCACCACATCGTGGATGGGAGAGCGACATTTGGTGCTTTTATTTCTATTCCGTTGCTGAAAAATTTTAATCAAAGGAAAATAAATGAGATTATAGACAGCGTGACGCGCATTGAATTTTGAAACAGCGAAGAATAGAACGAAGCGTGGCGTAAAAAAAAAAAAATCACACTCAATATAGACAATGATCACTTCCTCAACGACAAAGAAATAATTGCTTTTCTCCATTAAAAAAAATTATATATATATATATATATATTACATCTTGAAAAAGATTCCTCCTTTCAGGCAAGCCAGTTATTCAGTTAATCATAACAAAACCTTTCGCGGTGATAATTTTGTCTTTTACTTCCGATTCCTTATTGCGAATTTCTCTCAGAGTTGGGAAGTCTTAGTTTATCATGAACTGCCGCCCCTTTTTTCGTTGCTCGGAAGCTAAGCGAATAAGCGAGAACGAAATAAATGTTCCCCGGTTCAAGCGAATTACATTTTTCTTTGGCTGGCGGGTCAGTCTCATTGACTAGCTGATCTCCTCCCATCTGTCAAATCATCAATGTAAGCGAAAAGAAAATTAACGGATAAAATGTATAAATATCGGGACAGCAAGTTAGCATTGTAACACAGATAAAGTGACACTATGTCAAAATTAAGATACAAATGTGTGGTTATTTTCCTTCACCTTTCGACCAAAGAAATAACTCTTTGTTTCATGATTTATTTACCCGCTATATTGCGCGAATTTTGTCCGACTCGACTCAGGAAAGAAAAGTAATTTCAAAGTGAAGATTTTCTTTGAAATATTACTATGAATGGAAACTATTTTAGGGACAGAAGTGTTTTCAGTTCGGTTTACCCGGTCTAGTAGAACTAGAACGCCGATTGTCCTCCGTATGTCTCGCTCTAAGGATGTTTCCAAACACGCAAAAGACAAACAGCGAAGCTTGAACAAATGTTATTATTCCGGGGCGTTCGATTCAGCTGTAGTTCGTAGGAGTGTATTGTTAACCAAACCTGATTAATTGTGAGTTTTACAAGGATATTTTCGAAATTTTCTTACGAAGTAAGTAAGAGCAAGACGTAGCAACCTAAAATGCGATCCTTTTCTTCTCTTGATACATCCAAGACAAAATAAGATTTAACACCTGATGTTTATAGACTCAACGAGCTTTAACTTTCATAAATAAGTTTCCTATCTCACTGCCGTTTGGCCGTGAGAGAAATCACCTGAACTCTGGCTTCTGTTAGGTCTAATCTCAAGGCGAGAGCTTCGCGCATAAACACGTCAGGATAATGCGTTGTCTCGAACGCTCTCTCAAGCTGTTCTAGCTGCCAAGGACTGAAATTCGTTCTCACTCGCATCCTTCGTGGCTTATGTGGCCTCAAATGATCCAAGAACCTTTGCCCTGAGATAAAAATTAGGACACGATTTATTTCAGCAAAACCATGATCAGACTGTGTTTTTTTCCGTCTTTTTTTAAGTCGATATCTTTCAGTTAAGGTATGACTTTCCAGAGGGCCAGAACGTGATAACGTTAAAATCATTTTCCTTTTACTTCTAATTACTGTTTTACGAAAATGAACTGACTTCCTCTTACAACTTGTGATTTGTGCTAAAGGTTGAGAGTTATTCCATGAGAGTGCAAAAATGAGAGGACAACACGAAAAAATTAATTTGTTATGGCGTTCTTAACGGAATATGTACACACACAGGAAATCTGTCAGTATCCTCTTTTACGAAATACCATACCTGGAAATAAAACAAGTTCAAACTTCTAACTTCATTCCTGACGCGCATAATTAACAAACATATTTTACCAACTATGAATTCTTTTCACGCAATAAAACACTTGTTTAAGCGATGTTAGCAATTTTCTAATTCTTCTCCTCGAAAACTTTTCTATTGGAAGCCTTTTTTCTTTTGTCCTTGGTTCCTAATTTTGAGAAAACAATTTGCGATTATTGCTTATTTCTCTTTCTGTTTTACCCATTATTTTTCGAGAGAAATATTTCTCCTACCTACACGTAACCAAGAGGCGGAACACGATGAAAGCAAAATCTTGAAAACAAAGCCAATCGTTAAATTGTTACAGTTATCTTTTTCGCTGATCCCAAAATCTCAGTTATCGCATGAGATAATCCGCGAAAAAATATCACCGTGTTTATTTTTGCTCACTTTTTTTAAATCTAATCATAGTTCACCTAAAATATGCCGCCGTTTTATCGGTCCACAAAATGTCAAGGACAAATTAGTTAATACGATTTTTCGCGACACGAACAATTACTTAATGTTTCGACTAGGTTTAGACACAAATGACTCACTCCACAAAGTAAACTTTACAGTTTTAAAAACAGGATTCACGCAATTTTAAGAATTAAAATTTTACGATTTAAATTTAAAAAAAAAATTATATTCGTAATTCTTACCTTGAAAAGCCGCAAGTTGAAGTTGGGGATCGACAAATGAAGCTGGGTGATATACGCATGGAACGTCGTAGGGTCGATTGGCGAAGGAGTGATACGGTAAATAACTAGGAACTGAACAGCAAGAATCAGCCGCGGCATATGGCAAACTGCTAGCACTTGAGATGTTCTGAACTCGGGGCGAGACCATGGTATAGAAAGGCGACTGAAAAAATGTACGATGAGGATGCCCTTGTAAGTTACTTTCCATGCTCATGGATAAAGGACCTCGTTACGAGTATAAGCAGCGCGGTTTGATACAACGGACAATGCCTGTGCTTGATGTGATGTGGAACGTGACCAAATGACTGACTCCTTATATCCAACTATGGCGATATTTAAAGGCTGCCTATTATTTTTTGCTAATGGAATTATACAATGAATTCTGAAGTGTATTCTTTGCTCATCCTGAAGTTTGCAAATCAAATAACTATTCAATCAACCGGTCATAATATAATACAAAGACCTCTAAGAGTGGCTACCTCACTATTGCTCGCTTGTGATTGGTCAGACGCATCGGGCGGACACCAAATAGCGATCGGGCGTGAAAGCCTTGGACCGGGAAAATAATTTGCCTAATTAGCAAGGAAAATATGGAATTAAAGCATTTGATATCGTGCGACTGGCAAGCAAGCGTAATATTCCTAAAATTGTTCTCGGGAAAATCGCCACAGTGTACTCTAGTTAACAAGGAAGATCTGTCATCGCTTGAACGTAGATTCGAACCGATTGCCATTTTAGCGCAAACACTCCATGTTGCTATTTGAATTGTGGGAAGTACAAAAAATTCACCTGCTCCTCGTATGCACAGCTGGTATCAAGCTTAATGCTAATAGGATCACAAGTGATAGTTTAATGAATTATTCCCCATGTAATAAGAAGACTCGAAATTAGGGGGCGCAAAATACTCGTCAAATGCTTACTAGAGCTTCTCGATCGACGAGGAATTTTTCGCCACCTTAACAAAGGCGACGACCAAATGGTCACACTTTTTCAAGAAGCCGCTTCAAGTTGTCTCGAGTAAAATACAAGAGACTCAAAAAACACAGGATTTTGAATTTTTGAATGAATTTTCTGCGTTCGATATCAGCTTGTTGTCAGCTTGTCATGTTGAATCAAGTACGTTTGTCTTGCTCGAAGAAGCGAACATCAGCGCGCGTAATGATTAATTAATTTACAGCCTTTCATTTGGTGAGCTAGCCGCTATGCTAAGTAATTGAAATAAATTCATCACCTCGGTGCGGACATACTCAAATATAAATTCTACCGGTAATTAACAAAAAAAAAAAAGGTTGGAAAAAATTAACGCTACCCGTGGTTTTCTTTGTTATCCTCATTTCTTAAGACGAAGAATTATCTTTTCATTTGCGTTTTTCTTCTTTAGTTGGCTCTTAGTCTTTTATCCTTTTTTTTTTTTCAAGCGAGGTTCAGGCAGAAATTTTTTGGATTGCATCATTGCGTTCGGTTCCCCCTGCATCCATTACATCCCCTGTTTTTTGTCTTACAGTTAAACCCCTATTGCAATATCCCTACAACTGGGAGGTATCGCGACATAACCACTGTGTCCATTGAAAGCTACTTAACTTAACATGAGATCACAGACAAAATAAAAGACAGAGTAGTGTTACGTTGAGCAATCTTCAATATGTCGTAATTAGAGCGGAAAATGGCGATTTCAACATAGAAATATGTCGAAAAATGATTTAATATATTTTAAAAATTTCATCGTTTGACATAAAACGTTCAATTTATTGCATAACCCTAGAGAGGTAAGCTAATGTGCTACTTCTTTGCTGAGCTTTTCAATGCACCTTTAATCTTTTCAGACGCGCAATGGTTTAAAATCGTTCCAGTTAGGTAAATGTTTTTTGTGGTGTTACAGATATGAATGCGTGCATCTTTTTATCATCCGAGGTAGTATAAGAGACAGTTAACATAACTTTGGTCGGAACAATAAAAGATATAAGAGGTCCAGATAAGTTATATTATAGCGACATCAATAAAGATCGAATCCTTAACTGAACAAACCAGATAAATTAAACAATGCTACGAAATTTGAAACGTGCCTTTGATTCTTTTATTTTCATTTTCAGAGTTATTTCTTGAGAGGAAATATTAAATAGGGATTAAAACACATCTTCGTCAGCTGAACAAGCCGACTTTCAAACTGATTGGCTTAAATCAAATATTCCACTTGCATTGTTCCAAGGACTGTGATCACGTGATCGGACGTGTAAATTGTTTTTATAAAAATGCTTTTAATAAACACTTAAGTGTGTGACAGTAAAGAAAAGGCTTTAATTTTAAGTAGTAACGAGGATATTACGAATTTACAACGATACAAACTGTCGAACTACCTGGTATTAATAGAGTATAAAAAAACGCGCTTTTTTTTAATTTATCTTGATTCGAGAACGACCTTGAAGTCTCGAATGTCGATTGTAAACAGGAATTTGATACTGCGTTCTATTGTAGCTGCTAGTTCTTTAGTTTTGCGTTGTCTTTTTGCCTAGATAAAATACATCTGTCCACAAACGCAAGGGTATCGAAATGAGCCCTTGTCATTTTTCACGGTAAGTTTGAAAAACAAAATGTACCGGCTAAAATAATCATCTTTGAATTTTTCCTTCTTTTTTTCGGTATTCTTCTCTTTGGCAAAAAAAGAGTGAGAAGAAAGACTAGTATTTAAAAGACTGATCATGATTCATCGACTGGGGATCTCCAAGGAGGCAAGATAATTGCGCAAATACTTGAGCGACAACTGAACGAAAATCTCATTTTTGTTACGAAAAAGGTTAATTACTCGGTGATATAAATTGTATCGACATTAATGATATTCAAGTTGGAAACTTACCGAAGGACCAAATATAACCGCGTTTTAAAAGCAATTAAAGAGTTTGTTTTTGTTAGGTTTTTCTTTTTGAGGCAAATGAAAACTGAAGGTACTCTTTAAATAATATGCCCGCAAAACTCGCAGTTTTTGAAGATTGTAGTTAATTGGCTCAAAGATTGGATTCTCGCGAAATAGAACCTCTCCCTCTCTCTTCTTTTGCTTCATCTCTCCCAAAGCTTAGTCAAAAGAACGTTTCAAAATATCATTTTAACCTTGCGTATGAGACGGCTTTAGGCCACGAAGGCGAAAGCAAGTTAACACTTATTTTTAAAAAAATACACGTACACACCATATTATAGGCATTTTTTCAGTCGTTTTGACTATTTTTTTTTTTTTGACAATAGGTAAGATTTCTTTACACTGACTCGTTCACAAAAAAAATACGAAAAATACCATAAATCTTAGCACATACGATTAGCTATGGTTTCCAGTATACTAATAGAAGAAAATTAACTAGACTGCATAAATTTACTTAAGCTTTAGTCTCTGCTCTTGTAGTAAGAAAAAAAATTATCCAACATATCAGATAAGACCTCCTTTGTTTAATAACATTTTAGACATTTCAAACGTTCTTCACGAAAACTGAAGCAATAAAGCTACTGAGAGAAATTACTCATATTTTTTTCATCTTGTTCTCTGATCGCAGCCCGTGTCATCACCTACCTACTAGTGTGATTAATCTCTTAGTTACAGAATAAAGTAGCTTGTTAATGACCTCAACAGATGTTAATTAGATATGTTTGCAACCCGCTTTCCTTTGTAAGTTTCGGCCAAATAAAAGAAATTGAGCCACGGTAGCAGGTAGAAAACACAATAATTTTAATCCTTTTCTTCTTCACTCGTATCGCTTTGAAACAATCGTGTTTTGTTTTGGCAGTTTAGTCTTTTTCCGTTAAATGTTAGTTCGATCATTATCATGATGCCGACAGAGTCCTCTAACATTGACTAACGGACTGACTGATTCTAACCATTTGGTGGCTTACTTAATGCCCCTTTATACATATTAGTTTTTGACTTTGCTTGCACTGGGTTAAAAGAAAAAATTACGTGGGTGTAAAACTGACGTGCTTGCTTTCATAATAGTGTGAGCTCAACAAGAAAACAAAACATGACCGGAGTGCACAATAATGATATCCTTTGTATTTTAACTTTTCATCACCATTTCTGTTCATATGAAAATTATTTAATTTCGAACAACGGGAATTTTCAAATCTACTCTTGACATTACATACATATTTTTCGAGCGCTTCGGCATCCCTGTACAACAAAAACAAGTATAGTTAGTTTTTTGTTCGACACACGCCATGATGCCAGTGAATAAAACGCAAAAGGACATTGGTAAAGAACTGGTATTTGATGCATAATGTGTTTCTAATCTTCAAATGAAATTGTTTCAAGGTATCTGTGCTGTTTAATTCTTCCAAAAGGTTAAAGAGCGAAAGATATGAGCTAATTTCGACCTTTCTCTGTCCAATTTTGATCACTGGTATTACAAGGCTTGAAGAGCGGGAAATTTCTGTATTGGTACGACCCCTTATCCAAGCATAAAGGCCGTGTCGACACTGTGATACCTGAATTTGAGTCTCGCTGAATAAAAGAAACAACCGAGAATTAATTATTACTGAATACGAAGTTCAAGTAAGATCACCAAATCAATAAAACATTCAAGAAGAGTTTTTACACTTATTTAAAAGCAAAAGCCGAAGAAAATCAATACCTAGTTATGTTTTTGTTAATTTTACATTTCGTTCTGTATATGAGATCCATTCGGATCATGAAGCAAGAACTTTTAAGCTCTCTTCATCAACGCATAAAGCTTTCGTACTTGGCGTGAAAACTCCAACGCCTTACACGCACGATTTTTCTTCTGAATGAAAATATAACTGTTTTGTATTCTTGTTAATAAGAGATTCTCCCTAATAGATTTATTAGTAATTTTTTTTTTTCGTTCACCGATATTTACTGATAAGGGCTGGTAGTTGCTTCGCAGTCTAAGCAACGAAAATAACGGGCGAATTAAGGTGGGGATAGGAGCCTCATGGTGTCCATGATGAAAAAGAGCTAAGGGATACTGACGTTGCTCGCCGGTGGCATATTCATCGTAGGGCTCTGTAACAAATTTAATGCTTAATAGTTATGTCGTATACCTGTTCCAAAATTGGAAAAGATGAATCGATTGCAACAATTAAGAACAGCTAGTTTTTGACCGAAAAAAAGAAACTTCTGTTGTATGTTTTCTTCAGGGTGGTTAAAGAAGTTTTTAGCAGGTATGCAACACCAGCTGAACACGAATTAATATGAATTGAAAAAGACCTACCCCGTTTGTATCACCCTTTTATTTACGGGGGAGGATCTGGTAGATATTTCAACAAACATGCTTTATCATGCTGAGATAGAAATGCAAAGGCAAAACAAACCCCCGAAAGGTTTTTATATCTTGTTTTTCCGCTCTGCGATCAGAGTGATTGCGCCGATCTCAAAGAGTTCACTAAATCACGAGGCGCAAAATAAAAAATCTATGGACACTAACCACGCAACAGGTCTCACACGTAATGCAATTTTTCAAAAATTCAC